TGCTCACTAACAGCACTTGCCCCAACAGTCTATGCAGGCTATACGGAACGCATGTGTCTTTGTGTATGTGTGGTATAATTCTATTAAATTTAACAGACCCATCACTAATTGCATACCCGTCTCATGATGTCTTATCATCATGAGACGAGTGTACACACACATGCGCGTACATAATTAATGTAGACACACTGCGTGCGTACACACATTCACATTCTGATTAGTGCAAACACACACACAATACTCGTGGGCACAGACAAACACAATTTATGATAAGCGCATGCAAATTACTCGCCCAAGCGCACGTGCGCGCTCCGGTGGGTGTGGACACAGAATTCCCGTGTACACCGATTATGATCAAATGCACGCAAAGTTATGGCGCACACAAATCATGATACATGTATACACAATAATTATGTACACCAATAATAGAGGTTTTTTTTTTGGGGGGGTGGGGGGGGGTTAGATCACGTAAATATGTGTTGTTAAAACCGCCACCACCCGACACAGCCAACTAGTAAGGTGTGTCACGTAAACAGAACGTGCCAAATCGCTCCGAGTACAGCATCACCGGAGTGTGTTGGAGTTGCAAAGCCACAACATTTACAATCTGAGTACGACGTTTCGCCAATAATTACAACTAGCTTCATCAGGTGACAGCCAGATTTGTGGAGAAATCCTCCCGTTTCGTTTCTTACATAGAGGGGTAGATGTGTCAACGTACGTTCTGCATGCGCATTATGCAAGCCCATTGCTCTTGTACCGCCTGTTGATTGTGTACACTGAAATAGCCGTCCCTGTTATCGTTCAACGGTAATCCCCATTCAAGTATGGGGACCTGTATAGGCAATAATTTAAACAATCTATTACTTATTCTTGGTTCTTTCGGTAAAGTCACGTAGAAGGGAAGCAAATAAAAAATATATATATAAAACAAAATTATATTTTATATTATTTGTTATTATTTTATTTTTATTTCATTGCTTCCCTTCTACGTGAGTTTACCGAAAGAGCCAAGAATATGAATCGCTGCAGTCACGAAAGCTTTAAACAAAATGTATTACTTGATGATTCGCTCCCAAGCAGCACTAAGTCTGTAGCTATCCGAACGGTTAACATTATTTTTATTTCTCTCAATTTCGATAAATTCTCTAATTAGTCTTGGCCAGTAGTAGCTAGTTTTGCACGGCACTTCAACATTATCAAGATAAATTGAGTGTCCTTGTTGGCACGCGTGTTCTGCCTCTGCCGACAGTTGTAGTTGGGGATATAAAATATTTTTTTGGTGTTTTTTTTAGTTTCGTGCTGATCATTCGTCCTGTTTGCCCAACACAACATTCGCCACAAGTGCAATCAATCCGGTACACACCTTCTGTTGATAGCTTCGGTAATACATCTTTTGTACCAGATATTAATTTCTGTATTTTACGTACCGTGCCAAATCTGGCTCGGATGTTTTGTTTTTCCAAACATCCAGAGCTGCTCTTTGGTTCTTTCGGTAAAGTCACAAAAAAATAAAATAAATAAAATAATGGAATACGACGTTTCGATTGCAATACAAGCAACCATCATCAGGTAGAAGTGTGTGTTTATGTTGTGTGTTTATCTCTGTGTGTCTCTGTGTTGTTTCTCTCTGCTTGTGTGTCTGTCTGTGTGTGTCTCTCTCTGTGTGTCTATGTTGTGTGTTTCTCTCTGTGTGTCTCTGTGTTGTCTCTCTCTGCTTGTGTGTCTGTCTGTGTGTGTCTCTCTCTGTGTGTCTATGTTGCGTGTTTCTCTCTGTGTGTCTCTGTGTTGTCTCTCTCTGCGTGTGTGTCTGTCTGTGTGTCTGTGTTTTGTCTATCTCTCAAATTGAGTTCTACCTGATGACGGTTGCTTGTGTTGCAATCGAAACGTCGTACTCTATTACTTAATTTATTTTCTTTCTACGTGACTTTACCGAAAGAACCAGAGTCATTCCCGCAGTCACGAAAGCTTCAAAGCCAGAGCTAGTTCATCGGTTACTCCCGCAATGTACGGTATTTTAATCGTTTAAATTACTTGGTCAGTTCTAAGGCTCGTGTTATTTCATTTGGTTTTGGCATCATTGTAACCGTTCAATTGCAGCGCTTCTTTAACATGTGCACACGCACATCAACGACGGCGAATCTACGCGCGAAATGCGTCGTCTTACATTTACACAATCTATGCACACACACACAAGGTGTACACGCAACATAATTTTTAGTAAATGTATATAAAAATAGAATAAGTTACCCAGTAAGGCACAAAATACCCCGTGTACAATTATAAATGTGTACACAATACTATTGTACACAAAGTGTGCTTAGTGTACATATGTACGCAGACGTCACTGGGAATACCCTCACAGACACAGCGCGCCCTCGGCCAACACCCATGATGCACAGAGTTAGGGCGAGCGCTATATGGGTAAAGTTAGGGTTAGAGTTATATGAGTATCGCTATAGGGGTAGAGTTAGGGGTAGCGTTATATGGGTATGGTTATAGGGGTAGGGGTAGAGTAATAGGGGTAGAGTTATAGGGTTAGGTGAAAAGTTAGGGGCAGAGTAATAGGGGTAGAGTTATAGGGTTAGGTGAAAAGTTAGGGGTAGAGTAATCGTGGTGTAGTTATAGTGTTAGGGGTTTTGGTAGGGTTAGTGTGAGGGGTAGAGTTAGGGCTATGGGTAGGGTTAGTGTGAGTAGTAGAGTTATAGGGGTTTGGGTAGGGTTAGTGCGAGGGGTAGTGTTAGGGGTTTGGGTAGGGTTAGTGCGAGGGGTAGTGTTAGGGGTTTGGGTAGGGTTAGTGTGAGGGGTAGTGTTAGGGGTTTGGGTAGGGTTAGTGCGACGGGCAGAGTTATAGGGGTTTGGGTAGGGTTAGTGTGAGGGGTAGAGTTATAGGGGTTTGGGTAGGGTTAGTGTGAGGGGTAGAGTTATAGGGGTTTGGGTAGGGTTAGTGTGAGGGGTAGAGTTAGGGGTTTGGGTAGGGTTAGTGTGAGGGGTAGTGTTATAGGGGTTTGGGTAGGGTTAGTGTGAGGGGTAGTGTTAGGGGTTTGGGTAAGGTTAGTGCGAGGGGTAGTGTTAGGGGTTTGGGTAGGGTTAGTGTGAGGGGTAGTGTTAGGGGTTTGGGTAGGGTTAGTGCGACGGGCAGAGTTATAGGGGTTTGGGTAGGGTTAGTGTGAGGGGTAGAGTTATAGGGGTTTGGGTAGGGTTAGTGTGAGGGGTAGAGTTATAGGGGTTTGGGTAGGGTTAGTGTGAGGGGTAGTGTTAGGGGTTTGGGTAGGGTTAGTGTGAGGGGTAGAGTTATAGGGGTTTGGGTAGGGTTAGTGTGAGGGGTAGAGTTATAGGGGTTTGGGTAGGGTTAGTGTGAGGGGTAGTGTTAGGGGTTTGGGTAGGGTTAGTGTGAGGGGTAGTGTTAGGGGGTTGGGTAGGGTTTGTGTGAGGGGCAGAGTTAGGGGTTTGGGTAGGGTTAGTGTGAGGGGTAGTGTGAGGGGTTTGGGTAGGGTTAGTGTGAGGGGTAGTGTGAGGGGTTTGGGTAGGGTTAGTGTGAGGGGTAGTGTTAGGGGATTGGGTAGGGTTAGTGTGAGGGGTAGTGTGAGGGGTTTGGGTAGGGTTAGTGTGAGGGGTAGTGTTAGGGGTTTGGGTAGGGTTAGTGCGAGGGGTAGTGTGAGGGGTTTGGGTAGGGTTAGTGTGAGGGGCAAAGTTAGGGGTTTGGGTAGGGTTAGTGTGAGGGGCAGAGTTAGGGGTTTGGGTAGGGTTAGTGTGAGGGGTAGTGTTAGGGGTTTGGGTAGGGTTTGTGTGAGGGGTAGAGTTAGGGGTTTGGGTAGGGTTAGTGTGAGGGGTAGTGTTAGGGGTTTGGGTAGGGTTAGTGTGAGGGGTAGAGTTAGGGGGTTGGGTAGGGTTAGTGCGAGGGGTAGTGTTCGGGGTAGGTTTGGTATGCGATATAAGCCGAGATTAAAGCAGCCCAGTGCAGTTCGAGACAACATTCACCATCATCACACATCGTCGTCATCAAATACATCATCATCATCATCACAGCACACATCACTATCCCAGCCTCATCAAAATCCAGAGCCAGATTGGATTTCAATTCCGAACTGAGCGAGAGCACATCCAGTCTGCACCCACTTTACCGACAGTATACATCGCTGCACCCACTTTACCGACAGTATACATCGCTGCACCCACTTTTCCGACAGTATACATCGCTGCACCCACTTTACCGACAGTATAAATCGCTGCACCCACTTTACCGACAGTATACATCGCTGCACCCACTTTACCGACAGTATACATCACTGCACCCACTTTACCGACAGTATACATCGCTGCACCCACTTTACCGACAGTATACATCGCTGCACCCACTTTACCGACAGTATACATCGCTGCACCCACTTTACCGACAGTATACATCGCTGCACCCACTTTACCGACAGTATACATCGCTGCACCCACTTTACCGACAGCCGATGTCCGTGTCTCCGCGTGGAAGGTCGAGGTCTAAGCGAGCTGGGGCGAGGGACTTTAAAAGTGACTAAAATCCTCTCCGTCAGCCGTCCTCTCGCTTCCCCGTGCGCGTTCGTGTGAGCACGCGCGTGTGTTCGCGCGCGTGTTCGTGCGCGAACACGCGTGTGGATTTTGGGGGGGGGTGCAGGAGGTGGTGGGAGTCGGCAAAGGTGGAACTGGAGGATTTCATAATTTCCTTAATTTTGCCTCCCCTTCTCTCCGTCCTTGCTCTCCCTCCCTGCCTCCTCCATTCCCTCCCTCTCCCCTCCCTTCTCTGCCTTCCAGACCAGGGTTCGAATTGGCCAAAATCGAAAATCACACCGCGAAATGTTCTCAAATGTCACTGTGCGCACAGAGCGGCAATCATCGCCCCCTGCTGGCAGCAGACAGACTGACGCGCCAGGCCACTCGGGCAATGAGACTCCGTCTGGAGACGTCCCAACCTCGTCACGCAACAGCCACCTGCAAATCTTCCTCGCTCCCCACTCCCGCACACTCACCATCAACTCGCAGAAGGTCGCATCTCACCTGGGGAGAGGTGGTGTTGGTGGTGGGGGGGTCCGGAATCTCACCTCTCCCCAATCTCCCTCCAGCCCCCCACCCTCCTCTGGCTGGTGAGTAGCTGTCCAGATCACCAGCTGTTCATGTGCGAATACTGCCGGGTGAGCCTGGAGAGCATGTCTTCTGGTGAGCAGGTAGGCAATAGGTAGGAAGCCGTGCAGTTTACGGGTGAACAAAGGGATGGGTCGGTAGGGAGGTGGGTAGGCAACTGCACATGTAGGTGAATGCACAGGTAGGCAGGTGAAGAGGCAGGTGAGTAGACGAGCAGGTAGGTGAATGCACAGGTAGGCAGGTGAGTCGCTAGGTGCTTTCTCAGGCAGGCAGTCAGGAAGTGCCGACACCGGATGGGTCAGCGTGGATAGAAGCACTGTAAGCAGAGGAAGCGACTCTCATTGACCTTTGGTCGGCGTGAAACCGCACGTGTGTGTGTGTCAGAGTGGGGGAGCGGTGGCGCAGTGGTGAGCGCACTGCGCTACGGATGAAGTTGCTCGAGTTCGAATCCCTGCCACCTGGGGGGGGGGGGGGGGGGGTCAGATATTTGTGACGATGTGTGACAATGGAGGGGGGGTTGAGAAATGTGACGTCACATCAAAATGCGCAACTTTAAATAAATATAGACAACACGTTCTACTTAGTTAAATTAGACTTTTTAATACATGTTTTCTCCTACAACATCAGAGTGCAGCGCCACATTAAATACGCACCACAATCACAATAGTTTAAAGCGATTTGAAGCATGGTTTATTTTTGGGGGAGGGGGGGGGGCAGAGCTTTGTGACGTCATATTTTCGGGGGGGGGGGGTCTGACTTTTTGTGACGCCGTGTGACGATGCAGGAGGGGGGGGTCAAAATCGTCCAAAATCGCGTGACGTCATTTATGGACGGCCCCTAACATCAGTGGCCTCGGTCCTGTGTCTCCCCTCGGTCGTCTCAGCCCGAAACCGAGTTCCCTGGTTGCGATGTGCAAAAAACATCGGCACCCGGGGAGACAAAGGCGGCCGCAGAGATGCGCGTGAGAGAATGAGAGGAGGCAGTCCCGCAAAATAAACATCCCTGGTACTGCATTTTGACTTACAACTTTCGTGACTGCAGGAATTCGTATCCTTTGGTTCTTTCGGTAAAGTCGCGTAGATATACAATTTAAAGTTAATTAAAAAAAAACTACGACATTTCGATCACGCCGCAAGCGATCGTCATCAGGAGGAGGGAGGGGGGGGGACGTCTTCGTTCTTGTTTTTCTTCTACGTGACTTTACCGAAAGAACCAACGGATAGAACTGAATTTCTCTACCCCCCGTGAGCGCCTGCTCCTCCAAGAGACCCGCACGGCGTTGGGAGGCCATCCCTATCCAGCAGTGGATTGACACCATTGGCCCCGTGCGTGGACACGCGAACCTACTTGCTCGACTGCCGCCCGCGTCTCGTCGTTGCGCCGTGTCCGAGGCGACACACGCCAGCAGGTGGCAGGAGAGCGACATTCATGCTGCCCGCAACCGGGAACGGCTCTCGCCAAAAGCTCCCAGCATCATCACCAATCATCATCACCATCATCATCACCATCATCATCACCACCATCATCACCAATCATCATCATCACCACCATCATCACCAATCATAATCACCAATCATAATCACCAATCATAATCACCAATCATCATCACCATCATCACCATCATCACCAATCATCATCACCAATTATCATCACCAGACTGACTGGCTGACTGACTATATGACTGACTGTCTGACAGACTGACTGGCTGACTGACTAAATGACTGACTGTCTGACAGACTGACTGGCTGACTGACTAAATGACTGACTGGCAGACTGACTAGCTAACTGACTATATGACTGACTGTCTGACAGACTGACTGGTTGACTGGCTATATGACTGACTGTCTGACACACTGACTGGCTAACTGACTATATGACTGACTGTCTGACAGACTGTCTGACTAACTAACTATATGACTGTCTGACAGACTGACTGGCTGACTGACTAAATGACTGACTGTCTGACAGACTGACTGACTAACTGACCATATGACTGACTGTCTGACAGACTGACTGGCTGACTGATTATATGACTGACTGTCTGACAGACTGACTGGCTGACTGACTATATGACTGACTGTCTGACAGACTGACTGACTAACTGACCATATGACTGACTGTCTGACACACTGACTTACTAACTGACTATATGACTGACTGTCTGACAGACTGACTGGCTGACTGACTATATGACTGACTTCTGACAGACTGACTCGCTGACTAACTACATGACTGACTGTCTGACAGACTAACTGACTATATGACTGTATGTCTGACACACTGACTGGCTGACTGACTATATGACTGACTGTCTGACAGACTGACTAGCTGACTGACTATATGACTGACTGTCTGACACACTGACTGGCTAACTGACTATATGACTGACTGTCTGACAGACTGACTGGCTGACTGACTATATGACTGACTGTCTGACAGACTGACTCGCTGACTAACTAAGTATCCGTCTCCAGCTCACCACGCAGTCTTTAGCCACATTTTACATTTAAATAAAACACAACACACACACGCTCCTCCCCCCTCCTCCTCCATCCACCCCCGTGTTAAATAAAGGGGAATTAGATAATACAAAGGCGTGTGAGTTTGGGGGGGGCCCGGGAGTGGGTGGGGGGGGGGCAGTGAGTGATGGCCCTCGCGTGTGAGAGGGAGGCTCGCTGCTGATTTAGGTCCGTGTGAGAATTCTCTCTTCGACATAAATCGCACTCCGCTAAGAGCCGCAACTTCGCGGGGTCGTTAAACCCCGGGGCTACTCTGGTGAGGGGGGGGGGGCTGCATTGTGAGACGGGATTAGTGGGGGGCACGGTGGGGCTGGGGGATCTTTTTTGAGCATCGTGGAAAGTCTGGCCACCGTCAAAGGAATGTGGAATTGGCCGCGCCGGTGAGCGCCGTTTGAATTCGAGGTCACCGCAATCTCGTGGCGTGGGGGGGGCGTCTCTGTGTGTGTCTCTGTGGGTCTCTGTGTGTGTCTCTGTGGGTCTCCGTGCCTGTCCATGGATCTCTGTGTGTGTCTCTGTGTGTGTCTCTGTGGGTCTCCGTACCAGTCCATGGGTCTCTATGTGGGTATTTGTGTGTGTCTCTGTTGGTCTCTGTGTGTGTCTCTGTGGGTCTCTGTGTGTGTCTCTGTGGCTCTCCGTACCAGTCCATGGGTCTCTGTGTGTGTCTCTGTGTGTGTCTTGTGGGTCTCCGTACCAGTCCATGGGTCTCTATGTGGGTTTTGTGTCTCTATGTGAAGTCTACGAGTTTCGAAGTGAGTCTGTAGGTCTCTATGTAAGTCGTTGGGACTCTTTGTAAGTACAATTTATTTTGGTATTTGGGTCTCTAAAGCTTAGATTATTTTTGTAAGTACCGTATACACCCAGACCTTGGATACAAGGAGAATTCGATTACCGGCTCATATCATTGGCTAGTGACGACATCTGAGCCGGTCCTGGTCGCATTGTTGTACTGCACTCCCAATGTGAGTAGTGTGGGTTGGTCAATGCGGGGAGCATAGACGCGTAAGCAGAGTGCAGTACAACAATTGATGTTATTGCACAACGTAGCCCGGCAGCAGCAGCCGATAGCACCTGTTACGCACGGTGGTCGCCCATTCAAGCACTCTCCACGCTCAACTCTGCTCAACACAAAGACAAAAAAAGACAAAGATCCCCCGTATAGCCTGAACAGACTGTAGGGGCAAGTGCTGTTAGCGAGCACCTATGAAGGCCGGAACGGTACACGAGGGGGTGGGTGGCCAGCACCACGCCCGACCGCCTTTGTCTCCCTAGTGGCGATGTTTACACACCGCACCAGGTACTCATTTAAGGCTGAGTCGACCTAGGGGAGGCCCAGGACCGGTTCAGATAATCGTCACTGGTGTTAGCCGTGAGCGGGAATCGAACCCGGGTCGCCAGGTTCATAGCGCAGCGCGCTAACCGCTACACTACCGCTCCCCAGACACACACGCACATTCTCACACAAAACAACAAAGACACAGATAAAGATCCCCCGTATAGCCTGAACAGACTGTCGGGGAAAGTTATGTCAGCGAGCACCTATTTAGGCCGGCCCGGAACACGAGGGGGTGAGTGGCCAGCACCTCGCCCGGCCGCCTTTGTCTTCCCTGTGGCTATGTTTACACACGCACCAGGTACTTTTTGAGGCTGAGTCGACCTATGGGAGGCCCAGCACCGGTTCAAATAATCGTCACTGGTGTTGGCCGTAAGCGGGAATCGAACTCAGACGCACTCTCAGAGACACACACTCTCACACACACTCACACACACACTCACACACACTCACACACAACAAAGATCCCCCGTATAGCCTTAACAGACTGTAGGGGCAAGTGCTGTTAGCGAGCACCTATGAAGGCCGGAACGGTACACGAGGGGGTGGGTGGCCAGCACCACGCCCAACCGCCTTTGTCTCCCCAGTGGCGATGTTTACACACCGCACCAGGTACTCATTTAAGGCTGAGTCGACCTAGGGGAGGCCCGGGACCGGATTCAGATAATCGTCACTGGTGTTAGCCGTGAGCGGGAATCGAACCCGGGTCGCCAGGTTCATAGCGCAGCGCGCTAACCGCTACACTACCGCTCCCCTCTCGCACACACACTCACGCACACACTCTCACGCACACACACTCACACACACTCACACACACTTACACACACACACTCGCACACACACTCGCACACACACTCGCACACACACTCGCACACACACTCACACACTCACACACACTCACACACTCCCACACACTCACACACTCACACACACTCACACACTCACACACTCCCACACACTCACACACACTCTCACACACACACTCACACACACTCACACACTTCCACACTCACACACACTCTCACACACACACTCACACACACACTCACACACTCACTCACTCACACACACACTCACTCACACACACACTCACTCACACTCTCACACACTCACTCACACACACACTCACTCACTCACACACTCACTCACTCACACACTCACACACACTCACACACACACTCACACACTCACACACACACACACACACTCACACACTCGCTCACACACACACTCACTCACACACACTCACACACTCACACACACACTCACACACACTCACTCACACACACTCACACACACTCACACACTCACACACACACTCACACACTCACTCACACACACACTCACTCACACACACTCACACACACACTCACTCACACACTCACACACACACTCACACACTCACACACTCACACACACACTCACTCACACACACTCACACACACTCACACACTCCCAC